GTGAGCCTCATGTTACATGTTGCTTTGTCTTCCAACCCTCTCTCTCTGATAATATATATGATTTTTTCAGCCGATATCTTAGGCCCTTGCCGGTCAACCCCCTTGCCGGTCAATTGATACCAAAATCCCATCTGGACTCTGGGAAAGACTGGAACGAAGGTGCAAACATTCATTTGGACCTAAAGTGGCTTTGTCAAACGGATCGGTGACAGAATACCTCTGGATTGTAAGGCTTTTTGAGAGCTTTCGTTGCAACACTTCCTCGATGGGATGACAGGCCTCTCATACTGTTGACCCTGGTGACAGCAACATCCATGAACATCAGTGAGTTAGCTATCATCATAATTATCAGTTAATATAGAGAGACTCATAATGCTTCCTTTGATTGATCCATCACTTTGACAGTTCCTCTCAGGAAACAAAAAAACATCCCAGTAGCCGTCGCGCTGCCTACGGGCGCTTGCAGGTCCACCGGGACAATGCGGCGCCTAGATAGGAATCGGCCGTCCACCGGGACAAATGGCCGGGACGGGTGGCCGGGTGGCCTCTGGTCCACTAAGGCGCCAAATCATCTGGCTCCATGCAAGGCATCTTAATAACATTGAAAAGCAACAAAGTGACAAACATCTGGAGTTGTATGTTGGTGGGGAAAGAAAGTCAAGTGGATGTTTATCTGGAAATGCTGGCCAAGGGGGCTAGCGGGCATCAAGAGACATAATGGTAAGTCAAAAAAGGTATAGAACGCATGAAACACCATCTGGAGGTTTGAATCTCATCGTGAAGTTCTGAGCTGCAGAAGCGAGAACAATTTGGACTCCTGCAGCTGTTGCCAAGAGAGTGTTGTCCATCATGGGTGGCCAGAATGATGATTCACATTAAAACTTGAGAGCTGTGCAAATGTTCTTCCAGTCACCCAAGACCCAAACATGTGGCCCAACATGCATGGGTAACAAACGCACAATATGACAAAGGAACAATTTCATGACAATATGCAACACCCAATTATCAACACACCCTGCCATACCACCTCTGGAATCATGTGAAAACATCAAAGTATTTGCAAAGACCTGGACCTGAAAAAACATTCCCTTCACTCTCCAACGGGCCATACCGAAGGTCTATACTGTTTGACTCTCGAACCATATCAGCATCTGGACTGTCAGTACCACAACTCACCCGGCTGCAAATTCTGGGATGTTCTTTTGTTCCATTCGGATGGTCAGCAAGTCCAATGTGTGCGAACCCAACAACGGTGAAACAGCCACAGGATTCCCCCGATGTTGGTGACTTACGTATTCGTGAAACTGAATTGACTTACTCTTCAATGGTGTAAGCGAATAATATATATATGTATACATATAACATGTGTATATATGTATATATATATATATACATGTATAAAATAACTTTAATATACTATATCCCTCCCAACCAACATGGAAGTGGATGGCACACTGTTTGGCTATCATGATTTCATGGCCGGTTCCATCCCGCAAAACGCACCTGAGCCGGATGAGGATCTGCGGGGCAGCGCCGTAGCTGTCCACCTCTTTGTAGTGGGTTGAGACCTCAAAGCGCACCGGCAGGACGGGTCATGCAGCTGCAAAAGCTTCACCAAAAAAGGGGGCCTACACTTGGAAGAGCCAAGCCCCAGGGTATTTATGCAATTTCTTGCTGTAGTTTAAGGTAGTGCACCAATCATCCACTGTAATGGTTGCGTCGAGGATCAGTTTGTGTGTGTGGGACTCATGTACAGGTCAAAGCTCATGCCTTCAAGGCTTCAGTTTCCACTATCCACATCACAATGTTTTGAGGTTTCACAACTTCTGTCCCCACCAAGAGCGCAAACGGTGATTTTTTTGTACAGCGCAAACGGTGATTTGTTTGAAAGGTTTGGATCATAGCAGCCTACTATAGCTCTTCTATCGTTGAAGGGTGAGTCTTTAGAGAATCACTCTGAGTCTCACGAGAATCCCACTCCTCAGTTTCAAAGACCTTCATCCAAAGTAGTTGGGACTCATGTTCTTTGGAGAGGAAGAGCCTGATGCAAACCTTAAACTAACCCTTTTGTGCGAGGACAAGAGGCTCCCAAAGTAACTTACCCAAGGATGCACCCTGATGGAAATTAACAAATTCCATAAGAGTGTGCTGAAATCTGGAGACCTGGGAATGGGCAAGCATTGACGAACAACCAGGTTTGGCGGGTCTCATAATTCAAGCACATGAATGAAAGCATCATGGAAGGGTTTGCGGAACCTGGTCATCGAACGGGGCCATGTTCATCCATGTTGCATGGATTGGATGCTTCAGGGAGTTTACAAACCTAGTATCAATGTCCCTTTCAGAAAAATGGTTCTGACCCATTACCCTCCACCTATATAATAAATCCACACCACACAGATTGGTGCTCTTTTTGATTGAGCCACTCGGTGGATCATTCTTGGCGCTTCACAACGCAAATGCTTGAACATCGCAATGGTAAAGGTACCTCATCTACACATCTGCTGCACTTCCTTCACACATATCAGTGGACATGGTACACAGGGAACGGAATGTTGCTCTTTTTTGATGCGTATTACCATACGTTTTTTTCATGGCTCCAGCGACCTCAAACTGATGATCGTTTTGTCTGTTCAGTTGTTATCTGTTGCACAGCCACATTAACAAGACCCCAAACCAGTATCGCAATGGTCAAGGGAAACTCCGGCAACTAACATCCAGCAGATCTTACTCGTACCCTCAAAGGGTGCTACTCTTGTAGAGCCAAATCCACATGATGTGTCTCCTTTGCTGGCCCTAGCAGCCTGCTATGCTGTGTTTTTTGGCCGCACCGTGTGTGCTGTTCCTTTTCCGCGGAATCGCGCGGATGGTGCGATGAGGTACGGCCTCTGCCTGTGGAGGATCATGGTACCGGATAGTGCCTTTTAAAGTCAATGGTCAGACTGGTCACTCATACGTCAGTGGTACTCCCACTCACAATTGTGCAGTGCTCATGTGTAATGTGAGCAGCATTGTAAGTCACGATAATCATGATATTGATAATATATCTATATAATTCTATATAATGATATAGCTCCGATTATGAGCCGAATGTGGATATTCAGGAGTTCAGATTCAGTTGATGAGACATCGTCGCCGCCGCCCCTCTGGCCTTCCGACGGACACCTCGCGTCCTGGCCCTATGGCTCAAACGATTGAATCATTGGGTGCACTATGTTACACTCCAACCGATGGGTAAACACAATGAAGATGAGGGACTTGCTTCTTAAGCAACTCCATTGTGTGTACACATGGTTACACCTTATGTTCCTGGGTACTAGTCTGATTTTTCCTCGGTGGTGGACTGAATCTTTCACTTGACACTTTCCAGTACTACCACTCCTCGAAGATTTGCCGAAAATGTCGGCGTCTAAGCTTGGACTTGCTCGCAAGGCACACTACAAAGTTCATCATGTCCCATTAGCGGTGGCACTGATTGCTTTGGTTGATAGCAGGTTACTTTGGTGGGTCCTATCGCCAATCAATGCTCCATGAGGAGGTAGAAGGCCCCAGGCACAGGGGCCATTAGTCCTTCTTTGAAGCTAGCTCACTTTGAGAATCAATTGGCAGCATGAACATGGAGTCTGGCATCCGAATACTTCTAGCCTGAGATCTACAGGACAGTGAGAACAATGTGAAGCTGTGCCCCTGAGGATCCCCAAAGCTTTAATGCGGATTATATTGAAAGCCGATTCTTGCGAATGCGATCTCTTGCAGTATTTCCATCCGCACATTTGTCCTATGTAAGTGAAACGTCCTGTTCACCCAGGTGCCTGTCCTTCCAAGCCCAAGCACTGTCCAGCTCAGCCCTGAGCCATCCTCAAGCTGAAGCTCCAGCTGAGATGGGAGTGAACTTCATAGCGATACCCTTGAAAAGCCGTTACCCCATAAGGATTTTTTTTAAGCAAAAGCCTTGTAACTGCGACAGAGCATCGATTTTTCATGAGTCGTCCAAAAGCTGTTCCCACGATTTCCCAAGTTGTGGAGAGAGGATTGAAAAGTAGAAAACCATTCCGGCATAGCCGCCATAGCAGCTCTCATTAGCGGGGGAACAGTCTTCGAGAGGTAAGTGAAAGTTCCACAAGCTGGAGATTGATCATCTTCAATTCCTGCGCTTTCTGCAAGGTGTTTTTGTTTTATGTTCCGCTACAAAGGACCAGTGAACACACAAATTACCAAACATGTAGAGCTCCCTGGACAACGACCCCTACTTCTGCTCCCTTCACTCACTGTCCCAGCAAAGCATGCGGCGCCCCGGCGCACCCGGGGCGAAAAAGAACGCGAACGCGCGCGCCGCGCGTGGTCGGACTTAGCTCTATTGGCCGCCCGAAAAAAGAGCGCTGGGTATCTTTGGGATCCTTCAGATCAACATTTATATGGAGATTGAATGGCCTGCACTGTTCCTGGATGGATTCTTCCGGATATATATATATATATACGGTGGCCATGGCAGCGTTGTTGCCATTCGGAAAGGACATCGTACATAGGCACTAGGTCAATATTTTGTGGTACCCTCCCTGAAACAATCATGGAAGTGGATGGCATGGCCCCGGGACAAACCATGAAATCCTCATATCAAACAGGGGGTGCCATCCACATCCATGTTTGTTGGAGGGGTGTATTTACACCGGCAAAGAGTAAGTCAACAAGTCAGTTTGTTTTCACAAACTCACACGTTAAGTCACCAACATCTTAGGCGCAATGTAGGAGTCGGGAAAGCCAGGGCCACTTTCATGAAGATCAGGATCTTTTCCAATTTGAAGAAACAAAGCACCTCTGTGCAACATGGAACCTGATGAATCCCTGAGCCTCAAAGACTTGACCTTGTTCCACGGTTCCTGTTAAAATCAATGGATCTGTCACAGCACCACCTGAGCAAATAAATAACACGTGTATTTTATGTTACTTCATGTTGGAACACCTGCGACATCATGATATCGAACGATGTCAAAACAAAGTTTGGGCACACAAACTGAAGGTGTGGTGCTGCTAAACTGGACTGTAAACGTCTTTCTTCCTTCTTGAGAGTTAACCCTGCTGAAGAACTGAGTCTCACGAGTTACCACAGCTACGTCCGGAAACCACGCTCATGCGGCAGCTTCCTCCTCGGCCTCAGGAGCAAGTGATCCACGAAGGTTGAAACATCTTGAAATACCCAGGCGAAGCAAGTGGCTGTTCTATGGGGCTCTGCAGCAAAAGCCAGTGCCAGCGCAGCAGGCACCAACCAGGAATCGATGGATAAACTGTACAGGTTGTATGGCTAAATCCCCATAGTCCACAGTCCATCCCCTGACTCACGCAAGCAGGCGGGCATGAGGCCCAGAAGCGCAACCAGGATGCGATGGACCCTCTAAGCTGGACACCCCGCCCCACCGACCACCACGGTCACTTCGGCCCAGGCGCCGTGTTCTCCACACGCGGCGCCGGTGGCTGCTGGTTCCGCGCGCGGGCCGCGTCTGCGTAGGCGGGCCAATCGCTGTAGTAGATGATCACGAGGAGCACGAAGCACTCGAACAAGGTCACGGCGGCTTGCCTGAAGTCTGAGGCCATTAAGGAATTACAGTAAGTTGGAAGCCATTGCTATTAGGTTGGAGGCCATCGTGGCAAGACATCGCTGTGTACAAAAAACGACTTCTGGGACGCATCCTCGATATGGGTGTGTTGCAGTTCTGAAGTTGTCAATGTGACTCCATGTTCAGAGTCAACCTTACATAATGAACACACGTCGTTTCATGGAATAGAATATACTCTCTTAGTGGCTGAGATCTTACGATGGTGTTATAACTGAAGACGTGAGTGATCTGCTCTGAAATCAGTATTTACTTTAAGCTGTGGGAGGTCATTGACACCAAGAACAGCAGCTCCATGCAAAGCTCTAAATGGTCTGTCAAGCCAAACTTACTTCAATAGGAAAGGGAATAGCCTTCACACATACTTGACACATACGCCAGAACGATCGCAGCCCTTATGGCACCCTGGTGTTTCAGGTCGTTTCTTTCCGCTCTCTGGCCTTCAGGGACAAACATGGGCCGATCACGGCGGCCGATCTTCGCTTTGGATGGTCGACAGGGATCCGTTAGGAACCACCGCTTTGGCTTGAAACCGCCGGTCACTGAGTGGCTGAATGTGTCTTAACCTGGCCCTTCTTAAAAAACAAACAAAAACCTGCTTTGTGACTCTTGGTGCAAATGTGCAGCCTGAGTGGAAGAAACTTGGCTGGTTTGCACCCATGCCCCCACAGTCTGCCACTTTCCTATGCTTCTCAGATACGTCCAATAGACGAGGTGGACATCAGCGTGGAAGACCAAGACCAGGATCACGATGGGCCCCAGCAAAAAAGGAAGCTCAAAGAACATCACCTTAAGTCGATGCAACAAAAACTCTGACACCTCCGCCTGGCCTGGCCAAAGGTCTCGGTTCTATCTCTCTGCTGCTATCCGCAACAAAGCAAGCCAAGCAAGCCTGGACGATCCGAGAGTCTGAGCCAAAGCCACCCAACTGTCCATCGAACCCATGATTGGGGTGAGTCAATCAACTACATCAGCCAAACTGGTCAGGCCCTCTTCATCCAATCCAAACCTTCCTGTCCACCTCCACCTGTCACGATTCACTTTTGGCCCAGCTGGGACACCATCTTGGCACTCAAAGAGGTCCGTCCCTGCGAGGCTAAGATCCCACCGTTGGCCGTGCTCACCACGCCGGCGAAGAGGAAGTTCAACACCTCTGGTGGGCTTGGAGACAAATGGGTTGGGAATCAATGAGACAGGAGATTCTGCAGTTTAGCGTTGAACATGCTAGACTGCACGAGTCAAGGTGGCTGAAAGCTGAACTGATGTTTGTTTGTTGCGGTTCATGATCCCAGGATGTCGCAGGAAAAAGAGAATCATGATACATATAGTATATGTTGTATACCTGCAGTAGAAACATCAATCCCAATACATGTCAGCAAGTTGCTTGTTTATTACCCACCAAGCAAAGCGCAAAATCTGATCTCAACAAAAGCTCGGTGGTAGGGATGCTTCAGCTTGGTGGCACGGCAATCCACAGACCATCGCCTGTTTCGGTTGATGTTCCGTCGCATGTCACTGCCGAGACACGATGGGGATCAAAAGCTCGGAGGCGAGCTGCTGAACCTCCTTGGAACGAGAGCTCGTGAGGTCTCGCCAGGTGTCGAAATGGGGGTAGACCCAGGTCCAACGGGGGTTCCAGGTCTGTTGGTCATGACTATAGAGAATAAACAGGGGTGAGAGAAGAAGTGCAAAAGGTAGAACATCTGCATGGTGTCAGAACATTACGCTCCATCGAAATGTCAAGAAAGTCTCTGGCGTTTTCCAAGTACCTCACCCCCTTATATAGTAAGATATAAGGACCAAAGAGGCACTAAATCCTTGCTCACCATGTGTCCTGCTTCACCACCGAACCACCCAGCGCGATACACACGACCAAACCAAACAAATCAACACCAACACATGCACACCTGGAGGACGATTGGTTTCAATATGATGTCTACAGCTTTCTTCAAAAGGTCGATGTTTTCGTGTAGACTCAGCGCTTCTTGAGGTTCTACTGTGGGGACATTGGGATATATATATATATATCTATTCTTGAATGCTTTTACAGGAAATTCTCACCCTCCTCACCACCTTCTGCCTCTTCATGTCTTCTCCAAGCGACAGGGTCGTTGGAGAACATCTTCATGAGCTCCTTGCGCATGGGCAAAACCGCTGCACCGAACACGACCTGAGGCCGCAGCGTCTCGCGGCGAAATGTGGCGTGGCGTGGGTGTCTGGTGTTCATATTCAGAGCTAGTGAGTTCGACTGGATTAACACTGCCAATCACGCCTTCCTTCAGAGCTTCATCTTAAGTGTGTGCGCTTAGCGGCGAGATTCGAGATTCGCAGGGGAATACGGCCCAGAATTTGGTGGATTCTAGCGGGTTTGGTGCAGAACATGCTGAATTAGCGCCCAACTGGAGTGCTTTAGGAATGGTGTACTGTCTGATTCGCCATACGACATGTTGCGGCATGTTTGGAGTCGGTGACCAATCTCATGTCTGTTGGGGCAGTTGCCAAAACAAAAATGTAGTGCATGCTTGCCGGTTGCTGGTTGCTCTTGAGACTTTTGAATGCGTAGTAGCCTAGTCAAAGAAAAGAGACGAAACTGTACCCTAGCAAAGCATCCTTGGACAAACCTGGCAGGCACATGTAGGAAAATCAGTCTTTACAACTGTTGTTTTGTTGAGTGTTGTTTACCCTAAAAACACAGCTTGAGACACCGGGAAATGTGTGGAAAGGGTGGAAACGTGCAGGACCAAGGAGTGAGAAGGCATAATTATTGCGGGTGCAATTATGCCACGCAAAGAACCGTTTGGTCTGAATTTGGTCCTATTATACAAATCCATGGATAAACAAAGAACCGTTTGTAGCAAACAACCATACTTGGTGGACTACCAACTAAAATAATGCAAGTTTGGTCCAAAGCTCTGTAAGTGCCGCTTGGCAAAGGAGGCAAAGCCAAGCCGTTCGCGCCGCATCCTGCTTTGACAGGGGTGATTCGCCAGGTGAGGTGACTATGGCGCCAAGGAAGGCTGGACTAATGATTAATAGAATTGAATAGTTGTTTAACCGAGAGGGTCTAAGTCCATGTCAATCATCGTTCAAACCCATGTCACCTGATACCCGCCCTCTTCGGCCACAGTTAGCTTTCAAAATCAGGCGGTCCGCATAACCTGGATCTGGATTCGGCCCACTGGACAAGTCCGCATCCAAGGGTGGACAAGTCCACGAACGCACATGTTTACCGTCAAAGCACCAACTAAGCCTCGCCAGCTTTGCGACAAGCACAAAGCAAGTTTCCACGGCCGTTCATCTGTGGTGCACCCTTCATGAGATGTTCCAGGAAAGGCGTCTGGATGCCCAGTCGCGCCTCTGCATGGCCCTGGCCCAACTTCATTCCAACTCGAATAGCTGTGGTGGATGCGAAGGTGATCAATAAACAAATCCTTGGAAGGACACGAGCACTATAAATCCAGAGGGACCCAACCACGCACCCTTCAAGACCGACCAACAACAGCCCAGGCACCCAGGAAACTCCATTAGATAGCTTCTTGATACTAGTAGCGATGCACTTGTTACTAGTAGCTTCTTGTTACTACTAGTAAGGCACTTGTTTCTAGTAGCTTCTTGTTACTAGTAGTAAGGTACTTGTTACTAGTAGCGATGCACTTGTTACATCTTGTTACTAGTCCCGACTGGAAAGGGCTCCTTTGACCGTTGATTCAAAACCGTGGACGTTCGACCGTCCGTCTTCGACCATCGACCGTCCGTCTTCGGACCCCATCGATTATCCAAGCGGCGTGAAGGGCACGGTGGCTTGGGTCGCGGCGGTGGCGCCGTCGACCTGCAAGACACCCAGTTTGCCCACCAGCAAGGTGGTCGATTGGCTGATGAGGAACCTCAGGAAGAGGGTCGGTGGATGTGGGGATGTGAGCATGGCGAAAGGGCGAGGAGCAAACTAGTTGTCGAAAGATTCTTGAAGTCGTATGATGCATGGCTGTGTGCAACCGTTGGGATTCTGGGGACAAGCATTTCTGAAGGCATCTGATAACGGACTCCTTGAAGACTGAGTTCTTCAGCAAGTGATTTGATGTGGATCGGGGAAGTTTGGGGAGGCCACGTTTCCAAACAAGAGTCGCGGGGCGGTCCCTAGATCTGAGATGGTCCCAGGAAAAAATACACAAACAAGTCATATATGCTGTAGAAGGACATGGTATTCAGGTGAAAATATGCTGAGTTGATACACACTCTCGACTGAATGTCTGCATCGAGAGATGCCAATTATACCCTTAACACTGACCAAACACGAGGGTGTCGTTTTTTACCCTTGCGAGTCGGTGGATTGGGGGGGCATTAGAGAGATCATCTGTTGATTGTGGACGAACCTACCTGGCAAATCATGATCGGAACATCGTGGGATTATACAACGATGAATGTGTCCATCTTCGCCTCTGCCTGCCTCTGGTCGTCTCTGCCTGCCTCTGCCTACTGCCTGATGCGAACGTAGAAGGCTTTGGATCTACGTACATGCAGTTGAATATCAATATTAGCGTGCACTCAACAGACACATTCTCCATCAATTCATGGATGTGGGCCACAACCAAAGCCATGCTCTGTGCGCATGTTTCAGGCAGTTTATGATAGTTTATGCCAACCGGGAACTCTCACACGCCCTTACATTACATGGGAACGACAAGTACGACAAGCACACAAACAGATGCTCATGCAAGGAGTCGATCTATGACTCGAAGCCATGTGGCTGCAAAAGCATGCTGGCAACTTGTGGTAGGACTTGCTGCAGGTAGGGCTTCACATACTTTCCTTGGAGTTGCAACCCATCGCTTTGACTGGACGAAAACCTCTGCTTTTCCAGTTGCCCCACATCCCCGTGTTCCATGCAATGTTGGTCAATCTTCGGGGTCCTCGCCTGCGGGATCTTCTGTTCAGACTGAATCTTCCAACGGGAACCTTGTTTGGGAGAACGAAGGTTGTGCCGGTTCCATCTTGTCTAGCGAACCTTACACCGGTCCTAGTGCGGTTGCGCCAGTTCCAGTTTGGGAGAACACACTTTGTCTGACAAATAGCACACCTCCTAGTAGCAATTCAACCTCCGAATCTGTTTCTGGGAGGCTCCTGATTGGAACACAAACCTGCACAATCCACAAGTATCCCATCACCGTCCCATGCAATCGGTTTCACCGAACGTTGCAATGGCAGCAGTTTCAAGACTACTAAAACCCCGGCACTTATTCATCGCAAGGTTGGCGGGCTAAGAGACTGGCATACCCATGAACTAGACACTTCACATCACTTCACGTATACATGTTTCTATTAGCAATGGCCGCCAACCTAAGAGCGATGGCCTCCCGGCCTCCAACCTATATTTGTTTAAATACTTTTTTATACTATGTTTACCCCTGCCCGTCCATCAGCAAGATCCCACCTTCCGCGACAGAGCCGAATACAGGGCGTTGCGATCCCGAGTGGCGATGCAAAAAGTCGAAGCCCATGCCCGGCCAGGTCTTGTGATGTTCCTATCGGCCAAAAGGGTGTAGCTTTCAGCCCAGCCCCGGCTGAAAGCGTCAACCGCACGAGGAAGGTCCGAGGTTGGTTCTTCAAGACTGAGACTGCACATTTGTCCTATCCTGTAGAATGGCTCTTTGCTTTGGTGATGGTTTGTGTAGAAATGCATTAGGGAAGAACGGTGAGCACGACATTTTAACACAGCATCATTACCAACCACCAGTTTTCCGAAACTGCGAAGACTTCAACAAGTGAGAGAAAGCATCTGCAGCATTTTGCAGTTAAACCCACTGAGAATTACGGCTCTCCTGGGAATCGGAGAGGAATCAACGCAAAAAACACTGCAGTCCTGGAGGGAATCATCTGCAAATACAAACGTTCCATTCAAACCCTAAAAGGGTCCGAGCACCCATTGGCAAAAATCATCAATCTCATCAGTCTGATCAACTCATCTGAGACCTGTCGGGGAACAGCTGACAAACCATCGGCTCACATGTGGAATACCACTGTTTATGGTCCAGTCGGCTCATGTGGAGCTTTCCATTGCATGTGGCACCCCATGACTGCGATGACTTCCCTCGACTCCGAACACACGGAAGCGCGGAACGCTCCGCGTGGGACCGTCCTTCTTGAAGACAAACATGTACCTCAGCCAGTCTGGTTGAACGGGTCCAAAGGGGGTCCCATTCAGAAGACAGGTGGACGACGCGGTAAGACTCTTTAAGATTTCTCACCCTTACGGCTAAAGGATTGCTGGAAAGTGGAATACAACTTTGAACGTTCGTTCACTTCTAAAAAGGGGCTGACGATGAAATGCAAAGACCCAAGAGGGCAAGACTTCCATTGGATTCCCGGAAGCCCAGACCGCAGTGAACAAACGGAAGTGCGAAACAAAGAACGACTACTCTTCCCCATACTGGAAGGGTGTCTTGCAAAGTTGTTGATGGGACAGACCTGCATACACCTGAATATTTTGTGGCCGGTTGCTTTTCCACCCACCCCCAAGCCCTTCTGAAAAGTTAATGAACCGACATACTGGACCATGCAAATGCCAGAAGAAAGGAACAACATGGAACAACTATTTGCGGTGCCTGATTGCTGAGACTCCTTAAACTTACCAGGACCAAGAGTTTGAGCGTCCTTCGGATGGGAACAAGCGCATGATATACTTCATGTTGCGAAGCCATAGATAGTCCTGGACACCCAAGTCAAACACACATGTGGCATACATTATGCCTTCAGGCACTTCAAAACAAATGCGGTATCGTTTTTTAAAACATATATACGGTCTTTTTTAAACAAGCGAACAGGTATTTTATGACTAACTCCGGCAAGGTTTTTGCTAGCCCGTCAGTTTTTAAGACACACGGAATGAATAGAGGATTTAAATATACGGTCAGCTTACATATGTGCGGCGGCATCTATTTGGTACTGAGCTCAAGTACACTATCTATTATGTGGGGTGTTGGTGGTGCTCTTGGTGGGCTTGGTGGTCCCGGTGGATTGGTGGTGATTGTGTCGGTCTAGGCGGTGTTGGTGGTGGTGTTGGGTCCGGCGGTCTTGGTGGTCAGGCTGGGGGTCTTGATTTGGTGGTGTGGCACCTCCCCATACAGCCTGCAGCCCTGAAAGTACTAAGAGTCCTTGGTGAGTTCTACTTCCTGTGAGAGGGTTTGAAAAGCTAGATCGACCTAGTTGCTGGGCAGAAAGCAATGTGATTTCTCTACAAAAATCGGGTTCTGTAGGTGCCAAAAACTGCCTCGTTACAACATGGCCCCTCTGTGAGGGCCTCAAGCTCTCCCTTTTTGTAGAGGAAATGTCAACAGGGATGCGTCTACATTTTAAATTTTGGGGCCCGGCCAGACACTTTAAGTACACGGTGGGAACGGGTATTTTAGACTACCTCCGGGGCCGATTGCTCTGGCCAGGCCACCATATATTTAAAAGGCGTTACCGTGCGCTTTATTGTCACTACCCAAGTTCACAATGAATCTGCTCTAACTTCCGATATTTCCTCAGTTGATCTGGGAGTTTGCCTGAAAAGAAGACCTCTTTTGCTTCTTTTTGCCAGGCGGCAACCAATAGAACAAGCATTGGGCCACCCTGGAAGCACTGATGCTTACGGCCGCTCCAAGAAAGCCTCAAGCACTCGCTGACAGCGGATTCCGGGGGAACTGCGACTCATACCGAGTCGCAATCAACCCCCAAAAGATTGGCGCATTCAATTATGGTGAAGGACGTAGGTTCAAAACACGTGGGCTCTGAAAAGCTTGAACCTATCTGGTGCTCGGAAAGAAAATCACTTGGCTTCTCGTTTACAGCAAATCGCACTCAAGGACCTCAGCCACTACCTAGGTTGAAAGGTTTCAATCTTGTGGATGTGCGTGTTTCCATTCTACTGAGAGTCCCAGCCCACAATGATCACCTAATTGTAACACCGTGGCTGCACTTTTTCTGCTGCGAAACCCAGCCCGCCGATGCGGAAGAGGTCGTGCGTGGGGCCGCCGAAGACTAAGAGCCACAGGAAAAGCCTCGGAAGAGGTCGTTGCGAGGGAAGAAGAAATCCTTCAGTTTGACATCCAAGAAGAAACATTGACCAGTGACCAGTGTACTGTCTGTCTCTTGAGGCGATCAAAGGTCTCCCTCCCTTTAAATCTATATTTACATATACACCCTGCCCGACTCCTGTAATGTTGGATCTGGAATAGTTTAACCAAACCCACCTCCTCAAGCAATTGGAGTCTCTGCGAAAAGCACACACACACACACCAAAAGACAGTTCCCATGGTCCAGGAGTTGTGTTCAATGGGAAAACCGAAAGAAAACCAAATACGTGCGTCTTCAGGTTCCATTGAATTCATACAGTGTTGAACAAAGGCAAGAACTAATGAATTACTCAATAAGAAAACAAATCACACAAACACATCTCAACACCGACATTGATCAGTGGCATCAGTGAAGAAGCCCTGCTTGCGCTCTGGTCAACACAAGTAGCTCTAAACACTGAGATAATCCATATATGTTGCCCTGCATTGACCCCTGGTTGCTATCCCGACATTGCTGACGACGCATCCGACCCAACAGCGATCCAAAGAACAGAATCACCCAATGACCTCCCTGGGATCTCAAACGGCATTGGATCTACAGGAACTTCTACAAACACATAGCAACCCTTAAAAAAAGAATTGAGCAAGTCTCCCGATGGACAAATTCAAGTGACTCAAGTGATGGAACATGTCGGAACATCTATTAATAAAATAGGAAAAAAAAATATAAATAAACAAGGAACCTGTACCTCGCATGGTTTATTATCCCATTTTGGAGAGTTATACAGTATATACAGTGTTACAGTAATAATGTAGTTCTGTATACCAATTTGTACTGCCCCTTCCACACACGGTGTTTGGCAACATGCTCACAACATATTGGGAAGGGTGGAACTGAGCGATCAGTGGACTGAGGCTGGTTATAGTAGTAATAATAAGTAGAGTTGGAAAAGAAAGCAGTTCAGCTCCACCAGAGAACGCTCTGAACTCCACTGCAATTAGGAGTCTCAGAGTGTTCAACTAAAGAACGCAGCTAGACTCAGCACATCCTCTGGATGGAACCGACACATCTGACATCTGACATCACACAGATCGTCCTGCCGTTCCGGCCCAGTGGCGCGTTCACAAAGAGGAACACCAAGCCAAACCACATGGCAGGCCGCGCCTTTCCTGCGCGCAACCCAACAGACAGGGCCGGACCAAAATAGATAGAACAAACCCTAACGAGTATTACAGTAGATACTGTAGTAAAAAATAGTTGCAATTGAGTCATGCTTTAGACATTGTTGCGTACCCATTCTGTGACAAGCCCCCATTCACTTGGTTGGAGGCGTTGGTTACAGTAGATCCTCACGTGCAAACCTCCAAGCCTAATCCTTGGTTCAAACAGCTTCTGCATCCTGACCGTCCCGACCCAAACGAAGGGGTCCTTGAGCTTGGAAGTAGATCCGCATCGTCACATACCAGCTATTCGGAATCACCCAGATCGCGTTGAACCTCGAAAAAACGGACCAAAAATAAACAATAACGCGCGCCACTTTCATCCCTTTCCGAAGCAACAAAGACCCCTGTGCAGTTGGCCTGGTGATCAAACGACACGTGATCAAACGTACGCTACGATCAAGACCCCATCGCTACCATCTTCAAAGCGACACGTGATCAAACGTGATCAGTTGCTTGGTGGAAAATCCGGAGACATTGGACAAATACATGACACATGACACTGAAGTTGTGTTTTGAACCATGGAATATGACCACGATGAACACCAATTTTTCTCCCATGGGTGAACCATTCCTATGGGTTTTCACCACTGATACATACAGGTTTACCACTTGGCTGACCTCTTTTCCCTTCTTAAGCTGGCTATCGCCACGAACCATGGAGCTTCATGGCAGGTGGAGGAGAGCAGTTGACACCTGTATTTTCCAAGCTGCCGGGCGTAGACGCCAGCGAGATAGCACACCTCAAGGAAACTGATTATGTGAGGTTCATCGGAAGGAACCTATAGGTCCACAATAGCTTTTGTTCAACCAACATATACCAACATGTTTGACGGATGTTTGATGAGTCTATGAGAAGCTGAACAGGCTAATTAAGTGAATCAAGGTTTCCAGAACATGGAAGAGGCCATGCCATGAAGGCATCAGGGAGTGAGAGTCTATGAATGAATGAATTGAAACAAAGTTCGGGAGATGTAGCTGGGTTCTGCTTCACCCATCATCATTAACTAACTGCAAATGAAACCCAATCAAGTTCCCTGGGAGAAATCGGCAGAATCACTTGGCACACGTCTTCTGGGCCAGCGTAGCTGCCATCCTGACGGCTGAAAACAACCAATCGTCTGGTCTCCGACAAACCAAATAACACCCCTGGAAAAACACACACACAACTTCACACAACATCTATCGTTTGACGAGATGCTTCTGGGTCAAACTTCACGGCTAAGAGCATCTGGTCCACAAAGAAAAAGCCCGCCATGAAAGGAATCGTGGCCAAAGTCACGCAAAACGCGCTGAGCCTGGCCACGTTCACGTTCGAAACTCCACCGACCTCCATGTTCTGCCGCAAGCGGCTGGTGAATCCAGAGAAGCCAGCCACGATGGCAGAAATTGGATCTTGAAGGAAGGTGGTTTGGAAAATCCAGTAGAACCCAAAAGGAAGCAACGTGTTTCTCGTCGGTCCATTCTTTGATGACATCACAGGATGCAACAACGATGGTGTCCATGAAACTAGCTAGCATTCCTCCCCAGTCACACAACACAGGAAATGGCAACTTCGTAAAACTGTAGACCCTCTCAACCCGAGCGGCTTCAGCCAGGTTCCAACCATGTGGAAGTTCCCCGAGCCATAGGACTGCGCGATGAGTGGATTCAGGCCGAAGGCCATGGCCAAGAGAGGTGTGGTCAAAAGATTCGTCACCATGTCCTCGGCAAGACACCGAACCAATTAGAAAAAACAAGTATGAGGACCTTCGCGATTTGTGCTTTCCCGTTTCTTTGGCCAGGCTCCGCGAAGCTTAGAGCTGCTACTACTACTACTGCTACTGCTACTGCTGCTGCTGCTGCTGCTGCCACTACTACTACTACTACTACTACTACTACTACTACTACTACTACTAC